TTTTTTTCTCTCTCTCTCTCTCTTGTGCTCTTGTCGCCCACGATAACAATACCAAGCTGCAGTGCAAGTAGCAGTGCAGTGGCGATGGCAGGGGCAGCACTGTTGCAGGCGGTTGTGGCGGAAGTGGAGGTGGCGGTGGAGAAGCAGCAGCAGTAGTAGTAGTCGTCGTCGTGGTCATCATCGTCGAGTCTTAGTAAGTCGTAGTAGTTGTAGTGGTCGAAGTGGTCGTATCGGTCGTAGTGGTGGTAGTGGTGGTGGTCGTGGTGGTCGTGGTGGTGGTCGTGGTGGTAGTGGTAGTATGAGCAGCAGGAGTGGTAGTAGTCGTCGTCGTCATAGTGTCAGTGGCGTTGGTAGCGGTAGAGGTGGCAGTAGTTGTGGCGGTGTTAGTAACACAAAGGGACAGAAAGATGCAGATGCACAATTACACACCACACTTGTACCGTCCTGGACTGGCCGTACATCCAAGCGGTCGTGCAAGGGATGATCTTACAAGCTAGCCAACGATGCCATCATCATGCATCCGATTCACCCCGCTCTTTTGCCACCGGACACAAGCTGGCCACTCTTCCCAAGGCCCAATAATGATCGAAGAACCCTAAACCCTAAACCCTAAACCCTATAAAACCTAAACCCCCAAAGCCTAAACATTCTCCGAAGAAAGCAAGGCATGCGCAATTGATCGCTACTCCTCCACGCTGCAGGTGGAGGCCTCCCCTGGCGACAGCGTGAGATTCCAAAGCCCTGTCTGCATATGGGTGGTTGTCAAAATTAGGGTCCCTTTTGGGGTACCCTAAATAATAGGTGCCGTATTATAATAAGGACCCAAAAGGGGACCATAATTTTGACAACCACCCATAAATAATACACAAAAATTACATAGGACCTCAGAAAGAATATGAGATACCGGGATTACAAATTTGAATAGCGCTGTGCGGTACATTGAGTATAGCTGTAAGTACATGTGTCTATTATTTATAGGGGTCTTAGTTGTGGGGAAAAGGTTGAAGGATCAAGAACAGGTAAACCTACACCTAAACCCTAAGCCATTCATAAACCCTAATCCCTAAACCTATAATCCTGGATGCAACAAGGGTGTTGGGACTAAAAGACCGCACACAGAGCATCGCTTCCTACGATAGGCGCGTTAATATCCAGAACAGGGTTTGGGGGTTCAGGGTCTAGGGTTTTGGGGTTTTGGGGTTTTGGGGGATGTTATAGTTTAGTTGCATCAACGAGTCCTAAGAAACAATATCGGTACTTGCTTAGGCCCATACGTTAAGTCAAGGTGGAACTCGAGTGTTGCTTGCATTGCAACCTTGGGACAGGCTTGACAGTGACTGAATCCTCTATATCTGGGCATTGTCAGGGAGCTCTGCAACCAGTGTACCACACATCAAGCCGTAAGGATGTTGTAGTATGTATGTATCTCTATATATATATATATATCTGCTACCCCCCCCTCATGTGCCTACCTTTGGTGTGTGTTTGTGGTGCTTGTTTGTTGATTTTGTATACTCATGCATGTAGTATGCTTAAGAACTAACAGTTGCTAACAATGTCCCGTGAACACCCTCCAACACCAGATCACTACGAT